GGGAGTTAGGATTAAAACCTAATGGATGGTTGAGATTAAGATACAAAATGAAAGAATATAATATGAAAACCTTAAATGAAGGGCTATGATTAACACTAAATTGACGGTTGGCATTGAAAATAAATATATTATTATATATATATATAATTAAGAAAAATACACATATATGCATAAATTTGGGTTAGGTTGGGTTGACTCAATTTTTTAAAGATTGAACCTGAGACTCAACCCAACTCTTATGGAGTGATTTAAACTTTCAAGTTCAAGAAAAAGAGTCAGATATATTTTTACTATTAAATTATGTTTATGCTGGTATTAAAAGAAGTTGTTAAATGAAATTTAGATTTGTGGTTAAATGAGCAAGGGGGTGAAGGAATTTTAGTTCTATTTTTCACAAGATCGTATGAATTTGAAGAAGGTTCTGGATCTCCTATTATAAAATGGCAATGGAAGACATAAAGATAATTGATTGACTGAAAAATACGACAAGATTTCTTAATGTGGTGTACTATATTTGATTAATTAATGTCAACGTGAGTAATGGCTTACTAAGCTCTCTTTAAAAATACCCTCCCCATATTAATAAAATATAAACTAAGAATTTTTATTATCTTTTTTCTTTATTTCTTCTATTTTTTTAAAAAAAAACATTCAATAAACTGCAGCAAAAAGTCAAGAGGATTATTTTTTTTAGGTACAACGGTCAGTAAATTTAGGATAAATATTATGATTTACAGAAAAATAGATATTTTAATGGTTGAATTATGTTTATATTTGTAATCAAGAAGATTAGGCTCACCACTGAAAGTTTAGGTTACGTAATGTTTTATTTTTTAAAAGAGAATAATTAATTAATATGGAATTGGATAAGCAAAGAGAGCACTATGGATAAAATAATTGGCAGTAGCTGCGCAGGGCTGGCCTTTCTGACGTTGAAGTCAAACATTTTATTAATATGTCAAATTTGCACCCAAAAATATAAACATACTCATAGTTTCCAAAAACTTGTTTTTGTTTTTAAAAAGTTTATTAAAAATTCAAATATATTTTTAAGAAAAATGGAAAACAGCATAATTTTTAAAACATGAAACTAAAACTAAAAATAAAATCGTCAATGACCTAAATTTTTAAAATGTACGTTCTAATATCTCTCAACTTTGGAAAATAACTATTTCAACTTTTAAAATCTTTATTTTTCGTTTTTCAAATCTTAAAACATAATTATTTTGATATATACTACTATTTTAGACTTTAAACTTTCCTTGGAATATCAATTTATATAACTCAAATACATGCTCCTATCAACAGTGTTAGTACATATACACGTAGCAATGTTAATTATTATTTATGTATCAAACAAAATACTTGTCTTGATCAAAATAATCACCTTTTTAAAGTCTATACATTAAAATCAATTTTTTGAAGTTAAAAAATTAAAATGATAAAACTTTAAAAATTTTAATATTGTTATATAACATAGGAAAACACATCAATCAAAATGAAATTATTTTCTTTTAAGTTCAATGACAAAAACATTTAAATTACTGCATATTTATAATTGAATGATTTTTTTTCAAATACAACAAATAGAAAGACGATAAATTAAATTTCCCATCTATAAAAAAATAAAATGTCTTAATCACTGAACAAAATTCATTTTTATAGATCAAAAACAAAACCTATTGATAAGATATATTTCAAACTTACTACATTTTTACTGATTAAAAATGATAATAAACTTAATAATAATATCTTAACGTAACTCTAATAAACTTCAATTTCAATTTGATTTACTTTCATTTTCATTATCATTCTTAACAAGACATGTAAAACAAGAACAATTTGCAAAGTGTTAATCAAAGAAAGGTTCATGGCAAGATCAATTTGTGAAGTATTAACTAAAGTCCAGAATTGTAAACAAACTCTAAAGACATAAAATCGAAATTAAAATAAAGATTAAAGCATAGGAACTAAAATGATCGTTTCCTCTTCTTTTTTTCACTACTCTGTTTAAGTAGTTTTTGACTGAAATTTAACACCAGAATAATTGCCCAATGAATTAATTCTTGAAGAAATAACAATTAATTGTTTCATGGCTCAAAAACTTTACGATAATTTAAATCTTTGAACTTAAATATGCATATATGTCAATCTCAGATCGATCTTATAAGTGCGTCTAAATCCACCAATCAGAGATGATAAACAATGATGGATCAAAATTTGCTCTAATTCGAAGAACTAACCCAAATATATGGCAGAATAAGATCATAATTTCTTTCTGTAAACCTATCATCGAACAAATCAACGAGGGGATGATTTTCTGTAAAAGAATAAAATGAAAAGAGCCGATGAAATTCAAGCAGTTATCTGAATCCCATTCTAAGCGATTTAGCAGTTGCAGAACAAATTTCATCGGCAGCCTTCCTTTTCCTCGAATTCGACAGAGAACAAGCCGATTCAGAGGAGATCCATCGATCCTGAACCAAAATCGAACCGAATTGAACAGTGTTCTCGAACAAATAGGTAATATCGGCGAGCGGCTTCCGATTCAATCTCCTTCTAGTGGATTTCTTCGCATTTGGGGGAAACGGCTTCTGAGAAAACGGCGGGAGATTCTCCTTGCCAGAGTGAGATCGGACGGCGGCGAACTCCATTGAAGAAGGTGGAGGATCGGGATTGGTTTGGGGGAGAATCGGATTTGAATGGGCGGTGGTGATTGAGGAGAGGGGATGGTGATGGGTTTATAATATTGGCTGATGGGTGAGTTTTGGTGGGAATTGAAATGGAAATCATTTGAAGTTTTTTTCTTTTGTTCTGTGTGTCTGGAATTTGGATCTGAAATTTTTGAGGAGTTGGAATTTTAATGGCGGAACTGGAAATGGAGGGAGGGGGAGGGAGAGGGAGATTTTGAAATCCGCGATTTTGATTTTGGAGCCAAAATTGAATTAAAAAGAAAAATTGCGGGATTTGACTCTTTTTTAGTCCAATTGGGACATGCCAACTCAGCATGATTCGGAAAGCCACGTCGACTTCGCCAAAAATCCCCGGCGTCTGTCTCGTGAAGGGAATCACGTGGGAGAACTGAGTGAAAACTTTTCACCCTGAAGTTTATTCTATTTCTTATTCGATCCTTGGAATTGTCATTAATTTTACTTTCGTGGATATTGTTTTACTTTAATTAAATTGAATATTAATCTAAACATAATTTAATTGGTTAAGTTGTTAATCAAAGTTTACTATAATATTTACAAAAACGTCAATATCATAATCACACTACTTGGTGTCCTTCAGAAAAGGGGATCTTTAAATTAAACAATGGTACTTCTTTTTCTTCGATTGATTTTAATGTAAGGTTGGGAATCATTATAAGGGACCATAGAGGCCAAGTTCTAACATCGGCTACGAAATATCAGGGGAATGTAGCGATGGAAGCCGGATTTAACCGATCCAGTTGGAAACCGATTCTTTTGCGTATCTTCAATCTTTTTTCTCGAGATGAAGAAGACCTACCAAAGACGGGATCGATTATTGAGTATGCGAAAATTCTTGTCGCAACCAGATTGCATGCGACTTATAACTTTACAAAAAGAAAAGGGAATTCCGTAGGGCACTTTTTGATGGGTAGCTGGCATAGATCACAATGGCTTTAGATCCAGAACGTCTAGATTCGCTTTTGTAATTTCGTTTTTATTTGAGTATGTTTTGATTTCAAAAAAAAAAAAAAAAAATTTAAGTACAACTTTGTGACCTCCAATTACTACCCCACAAAATCGATATTGATATTAGGAATAGATAGGCATTTAAATAGCATCGCAGAAAAATAAATAAAATATTATTTAAGTGAGTTTGTGTAAAAGACAACACTGTCTTATTCTGAGTATCTCTACAGTGGTATGCTATTGTCCGTTTTTGGCATAGTTTTCACGGTTTTGCTTTTGGTTCCATCAAAAACACTAATATCAATTGAGATAATTGTCTTTATTTATATATCCATGATCATCCTCTTCACTCACAAATGTAGGACTTTATTTGAACTCCTTTACAAACACCCAACAGTTGGTAAACTCAAACAACTAAAGAAATTTAAAATGAGAAGCCTTGGTTCACTCGTTATGGATGCTTACTCTATTCAATAAGAAGGTCATTCCGCTATATTTTAATCTATGAGACAAATTTAGGCTAAAATAAAATTCGATGTCTTTGATGTTTAAACTCATTAGATAGTTCCAAACAATTTTGACTTTAGCCCTTCAATTAGCGTCGTTTGTGAGGACGATACTTCTCAAGTGATAAGCATCCATAAATGTTAGTAGCTCGAAACGACCTTCTCGTCGAACAGAGTTTCAATTCGATCTCTCGCCCTTCTTGTATGAATAAGACGACGTCCTTTTAGCCCAAGTGAACTTGGAACTATCTAATAAGTTTAAACATCAAGGACGTCGACTATATGTTAGCCTAAATTTGTTTTAGACTTGGAATTGTTTTAGTTGATTTTGATTGCTAATACTGCAAAATTGAGAACTAACTTAATTATAAACCAATTATACAATCCGACTCCATCACAAATATATTGATTATAAAGTTATTGGAAAACAAACCATTGAAACTACAAATTTGGTAATTGAAAGATATTCCAAAAAGTAAACTTTAGAGGGAAATATGTTCTCCATTCCAAATTTTAACTTTAACTTGGAATTTAGAGGTCACAAAAATCACCATGTTATTATATCTAAAATGCTCAAGTCTAGGATTTGGAATTCGAATTTGACCTTAATTGCATCGGTCTTTCAAGAGAAAGTGCACCTTGTTAGTATAAGTGCACCTTGTTAGTATAAGTTGTGACTATTAATTCTTAACCATACTTTGTACCTCGTCTTCTACACTCGAACGTCACAATTTTAAGGGGTTTGAGCTCTTCGACCTATAGTAAATCTGTGACGAACAGAGCTTAACTAGATAAACGAACAAAAAGATTAAAGTTAGAATCCCAAACCCTTGTATTGCCGAAGAAAAACAATCCCTATAGTTTATACTTCATCAGTACAAAAAATATCGGAAAAAATCTCCACTTAATTTGCAGGTGTATCAGTATAATCTGTCCATTCAAAGCTGAAGCTACGATTGTTGTTGTTCTTCAAGAACTTCCACATTAATTTCTACCACTGGTCCCTCATGATTCTGATGTTTCCATCTTTTTGTGTCAACGATGAGATAAGGAATCACACCTCAAAAACAAAAACATAAAGCTTCCCCAATTTGGGCGCCGATTCCAACCCAAGGCCAACACAACAACACAATGAAGACCGGCGCCGGCGGCCACATCCTCCGCTCCGGCGCCACCGCTCGGAAGGACCGCCACAGCAAGGTCTCCACTGCCAAAGGCCCCCGCGACCGCCGCCTCCGATTGTCCGCCCACACCGCCATCCGATTCTACGACCTCCAGGACCGACTCGGCTACGATCGCCCCAGTAGGGCCGTCGATTGGCTCATCAACAAGGCCAAATTCGCCATTGATAACCTCGCCGAGCTTCCCCCCAATTCTATAACAGACTCCGATTCCCAGCTTCAGATGCAATCCGCGACCTCTGCTACCACTTCCATCAATTTCCAGGGCTATCCGGTGGATTTGATCTTGAGCCCCACCGATCCGCCGGAAAATCTCCGCCTCTCCCTCCATAATTTTCATGACTCTTCGCCGGCAGATTCGATTCCGGGAGAGGACGCCGGATTGTGGCTGCAGCAGCCGTTGTTAGGTCAAAACTCGGAAGCAGCGGCGGCGTTTTCTCAGAGGGGACCCCATTCGGTGCCGATTCGTGGTTGGAGCTATCAGAGGACTCATCCGAATCAACCGTTTCCGGCGGCCGATTTGATGCATCGTCGGAGTTCCGTACGCCGTCGCGGATTGGAGGTGAAGGGAGAGAAGACGGCGTCGTTTCGGGGAGCCACTCGTCTACTCCGAACTATCGCCCAGATTTGATTTGATTCTCGCGCTTGATCATTTTTTTTTTTTTAATGTTCAATTTTAATTTACGAATGAAATGATTATGATTTATGGCTGATGTAATAGATAAATCCGAATTTATTTGAGAGTATTTATTAATTTAAATTTGTGTGTCTTATACTTGTAAGATGAGATTTAAATTTCCAACTTGAAGAGAAGAATAAATATTGACTAAACTTATATTGGTTTAAATTTACTTGTTCTCCTGTTGAAAAGTAATATAAGGATGTTTGATTGCATTATAACCTATGATTTATTAATGTTGATTTTTGTTAATAGAAAACAAAATTGATTATAAGTTCAATTATTGCCAATATAAAGGAGAATAAGATGAATTATAGATTTCACGAGCAACCAGGCTTAAGAAGATGATTAAAACTTGTTTAATATTGTTTTTAATTTATTTCTTAATTTGTCAAAGCGAACATAGGTCAGCGGTAATTGGCTATACCTCTCACTAATAAGTTGTGAGTTCGAATGTACTCCCTGACATTTTGTAAAAATATATATATAACGAACAATCTCGAAACTAAATGACATTATTTTCTTCTACGATGAGGCAAGCTATCTCATCCCAACACTCTTTGATCACGGGAAAGAAATTCGAAGAGATAATATCCTCATCTTGAAGTCAATGGCTGAACAAGAATTTCATGAGCCTACAGTAAAATTCCTGGAAAGGAGTTGAGTTGAAAGTTTGGGGCATTTTCAGTAACGTGTGATGCAAAATTCAAAAGAAAGGGAAGTGCAGTGCAGTGCCGTGCGTTCCCATTCAGCTTTAGAAGCCGGTGTACGTTTTTGTCCCACATCGGAAGCGATCGAAAGCGGATGCCACGCGAGCGCCTATAAAAGGCAGGTGCGATGGAGAGGAAAATTCATCTTTGCGCTTGGGGCAATGACGCAGCTAGTGAGGTTCTAACCGAGGCGCGTCAATTGCTGGTTGAAAACTATTTCCAAACCCCCTCTTTGGCCTGGGTTTGGCCCAGGCCCAAGAGAATTTCTGGAAGGGCTCCCTTCGGGGTAAAGCCCTACAATCCCATACTCCTAATCATTTAATATATATATATTATATATTATATATTTTAATCTTTTATTTGGTTTAATATTTTTCTTAAGTTAGATCAATGTAAATTGATATTTTTCATAGTATTTTTTTTTAACTTTTTGATTATTAAAAAATTAGAGTGAGTATACGCAAAGGTCTGGAAATTTTAACATCAATACTTCAAGCATTGAAATTTGTACAAACTAGTGATATTTCTCAACCAAATATATATATATATTTTCTTTTGAACATTCAACCAAATATATATATTTTTTCTTTTGGACATTCAACCAAATATTTATTAGCATATGTTTTATAAATTTTGTATAATTATTATTTTACAATTTATAATGTACCTGATTTTTAATTATTCTTTTTATCTTAACAATAAACTCTTTTTTAGATACATCTTATCATTAAACTTCGAAGGGAAAGATTCCTCTCATTTTAAAATTGTTCATATTTGGTCAGTCTTATGCACTCAAAAAAAAATCCCAATAAACTAAAAATTTTTGTTTATAAGGATTCTAATATGCTTGACACTCATGATTAAATACTCAAAGATATTTAAAATAAGCATATTATATAATTCTTAAATAATATTAGTTAGTTATTAAATTGACATATTAAATGATTGCCATTGTTAATGCAAATGGTGAAGTTAATTAAACCAGGTGGATGGATTGCAAAGAGGGAAAAGACGAAATTTTTGTTAAAAATGACAATTGAATTGGAAAAATTCAAGATACGTGAATGTTTAAACGTAGGTCGTGGAAGTTGGTAAGAGAATGAAGCGGTCAAGGATATTGGGTGGCCCAAAATTTTTCCTTTTTATTTTTTAAATTTCAAATCCTATTTTGAGCCACTCGATCATTCATGCCAATTCAAATGATCCCAATTTATCCATTTCTCTCGTATTCTATCCCTCCATTCTATTGTTTTCCATCTTTTCACTACCTTACCTTAAATTGAGCATGAGATTTATTCCACTCCCATTTCGATGAGAGTGCACATCTGAGTTAGAGATTGTTTTAACTTTGGGGAACATACCAACACAGTAAAACGATTTAGTACCAAAGTCGTGTTGATTTTGCTTTCAAAGTGGTGGTTCCGCCCACAACACAACATTTTTACCCCTGATTTCAATTTTGGCATTTATTTCCCAACAACCTTGACTCATATGACTAGATCAAACATAATCTACACACAGAAAAGGGTGAGCTAATGCAATGAATTGTAAACATACATTCCGATACTTTAGTCAGTATCAAAATTGATGAAAATAAAGAGAAAGACTTATATTTGACGAGGGCATCCTTAAGCGGGGGTAAACTCAATTGGCTGGGACTCTTGTAATTCAGTCCATTTCGTATATGGAGATTGAAATAAAAACTAATCAGAAGTGTAATGTTAGTCAAAATTAAATATCGTGATTCGTAATATAACCTAATCTGGAAATTATTGCAATGTGGAAAACAAGAAAGCAGAATCAACGGATTCCTTTTTTCTCTCTCTCTCTCTCACGCAATTTTTTAAAATTGTTAAATTATTTAATTCTTTATTATATATTAAATGGATTGCTATTATATTATATTATTACATAATACCATTGACAAATTGGAATAAATTCAAAGAAAAAACACCCAAAGTCGGTTCTGCTTCCAGTTGTTATCTGTCTTTTTCATTTTATAATCTCGTTTTTCTCTATCTCTGTTTTTGTTTTAATTTTAAATAAATACCTTGCAATAATTTCCATGCTATTTAATTTTACTTTTTTAAATTTAATTTTTTTAAACATGGCCATGACTAAGTTTTCAAGAGTGTTTTTAGTAAACAAACCACAAACGGACATTGAAATTAATGGTCTTCTTTTACTTATATACCAAACTCAGACATTTCAAGTAAACCAATTTTCAACTTTCTTGTTTTTGAAAGACAAACGCCAAGCAATTACTAAATAATATATATATATATAGCTTTTATTTCCAATAATTGCACCAGTTTCCAATATTTTCCGTTGGAATTAATTTAATAATTAATTCATATAAGGGTAATAAATTAAAAGAGCAATTATATTTAGATTATTTAATGGGTATACGAGTGATCTTGATTATGCGTCCATGACTTTCCATTTAGTGGTGTAGTTTGCTAGTAGAAAGTAGTCCATTAATCCTAGGGAATTATGGGATTTTGTCCATATTTGGTATGGGTTGCATGGTTGAAGAAGATCACAAACCAAAGTTTCACGGTAGTTCATGGTCAATCTATCCAAGCAATTCTAATCTCTTTTTTCCATGTTTAAATTCTTGATCTGGATTGTTATGGAATTTTATGGCTTTTATTTTAGAATAATTATGAATTGGGATTTCCTTAATTTTTCCAATGGTATATAAGTTTTAGAAAATATCTCTATTCGGACGAGACATTTTATCTAAAACAAAATAAAAGTTTGAAGGATTTATGTCAAAATCGGATAATAACATATCATTGTGAAAATATTGAGGATCATTTGTCCTTTATAAGTGATTATTAGAGTCTCGTGGGTAGAATTATTGAATAATAAACAAAGAAGTGGTAAGCCTCAAAACATATTATTATATCATACAACTATATTTGAACTGTGCTCTAGACAACATCTCAAATAACACAATGAATAGAGTAAATTTTGAGCAAACTATAAATACAAAATTCGAACTTCTAAATTTATGAGAATCAATTCGAAACTGATCTCAAACCGTAAAGAACTAAGTAAATCGAGAACATAAAATATCAAAATGTTAATTTGACCTATTAACTACTATCTCATGTAAAATAAATTTTAAAATACAAATTAAGTCCTTAAACTTTCATAATTAAATCTAACAAGTCCTTAAATTTTTAACATTGTGTCTAATAGTTCATCCAACTTCTTTTTAAGAGTTTCTTAAATTTCAATTTCAATTTAAATATTTTTATAATTTTATAATTTTATAAGACCCATTAAACAAAAAATCAAAATTTATTAACCTACTAAACATTTTTGGCGAAATTTTAGAACGTACCAATCAAGATGGTGCTCTTTTAACTCATTGATCTTGGTCGGATCCTATTTTTAAATGGGATGTTCGTTTGAACTTGTTGGACTCTAATACGTATTAATATTCCTGAGATTTCATCTCAAAATCAATTAACTATGAGAATAATAGTCCATTTATATTGTAAAAGATTCATTTGAAAGTTTAAAATTAAACTTATAATTAAACATTTTATTACTTTTCTTTTTTGAAAAGATAAAGTCTCATTTTTCTAATATCTATTTTTCTACCTTTCCCTGTTTTACACGTAAAAACTTAAAAGATAGAGAGGAGGAGAACGTATGAGAAATGGGCAAGGGACGTGAAGAAGTCAACATTCAACAGTCAACTCAATTGAAAAACAGAGAAAAAAGAAATGGAAAAACAGAGCTTGTTCTTCGCAAGTTTCTTATTTCTGCCAACAAAATTCTTCCCTTTCTTAATCTTCTCTTTCACACTCACAAAATCAGAAATTCAAATAAAAAAAAAACCCATTATATTACCTTCAAATTTCAATTCTCTGAAAAACCCCCTCACAAATTCATCATCTTCTCTCACGAAAAGCAGAGCCCATGTCCTCCTCCTCCTCCGCCCATCCGTCGTTCGACGGCGACTCTTTCTTCATCCCCGTCCAACCCCACCCTCGCCGGAACGCTTACGGTTTAAACAACAAAATCATGCTCACCGCCATCGTTTCCCTCTCTCTCGTCGTCGTTCTCGTCATTGCCCTCCACATTTACGCCAGATACGCCCTCCGCCGCCAGGCGCGGCGGCGGAACCTCATGCGCCGCCTCGGTATTATCGCCCTCATGGACGCCCACGACCCGCCGCCGCCGCCGCGGCGGTCGGGCCTCGACCCGATTGTCATGGCGTCGCTGCCGGCGATCGTTTTCAAGCTGCCGGAAAATCAGGACCCGGCCGGCGCCGCCGTGGAGTGCGCCGTGTGTCTGAGCGCGGTGGAGGACGGCGAGACGGCGAGAATTTTGCCGAATTGTAAACATATTTTCCACTCGGAATGTATCGACAAGTGGTTCGGGTCGCATTCGACCTGCCCAATTTGCCGGACGGAGGCGGCGCCGCGGCCCCAGCCGGAACCCAGAGAAGCTCCGGCCGGTGGGTCGGTGCCGGCGGTGGAGGCCGTTAATGGGTCGGGTTCGCGATTGAGTTCGTTTAGACGGATGCTTAGTAGAGAAAGGTCTTCGCGGACAATTCAACGTTGCGTACAAGAAAATAGAAACGACGACGTTCGAGACTTGGAGAGGCAGTAAATATTAATGTAAAATCTATTAATTTTTTTTCTTTCTCTTCTTCCTCACTTAAAAGTACTCTTGATTTGTCACTAGAGTGTAAAAGAAAGAATTGAATTAAATACAAATATTTACTGATACTCAATTAAATACAAAGATTTTTTTTTTTGGTTGTATTTGATGATTTAGAAAATTGTGCAAGTCTGGTCTGGAAATTTTGTTTTATTTCTAAGTCAATTTCAATTATTTTTAATATATTAAATAAATAGGAAATATAGACTGGTATGGGACGTTGAAAATAAAAGCTGAGAAATTTCTAACTTGGAAGAGAAATTGTGTGTGTATTTGAGTTTGGTAGACCATTAATTTATTTTTATATTTAATCATAATTCATATCCTCCCATGTGATGTGACTACTTTTGATTCTCAAACTCTTCGGCGGTCCATTTCAAAGATTTTGGATTTTTTAATTCATTATTGTTTTATTTATTATTTATTTTATAGTACAACAACCCGGACAGAATATTGAATTCACAGACTTCTAAATTAGAAATATATGTCGAGTTTACTATTTTTTAGCAGAAGATAAATGTCTGTACTAATTGACCTATTACTATTATTTTATTCTAATAATAGTAACAATATTTATAGCAACAAGTTATAAGTTGAAGAGTTTCAACGAGTCTTTTAACAATAAAAACTATATTTAGTATGCATGATAAAATTTTCCCTTTTTTATTTTTATTTTATTTTATTTTTTGGAAAATCTCATGTGAATAGTATCCCATAGGACCTTAAACTTCAATCTCGTGTCTAACCGTTCCCTAACCTATTTGACATTAATTAAAATTAATGAGTTTTAAATGATACATGCTTATTATTGTTCGCTTGACTATATTGTCTAAAATAGTTATTTTGAAAGTTTAAGAATTAAGAACGGAGTAAAATATAACTAAAAGTCAGAATTTAGAAATGACACATGCTCTTTTGATCTGCCCTTCATGCAGCAGCAGCTGCCAGCCTCAAGATCTGATTTTCTTTTGTTTTCCCAAGTCATATCCTATGATTATTATTAAACCTTAATTTAAAAAAAAATTAATTATACAAAGCCCACAATTATAACTAAAACTCACCTCAAATCTGTACTGTATCTTATATCTCATCCAGTTTTTTTTCCATTAATAACAAATTCTTATCTGATTTTCAATTTCAAAATTTGTGCATATCAAAAAAGAATTAAGGGAGCCAATAACCCCAATATTAGGCTAATGAAAAGAAAAACTCAAATACTAATACAGACCACACCCACCAATGGAATATGAGATGATAATCAAACAAAAAACACAAGAAAACTAGAGGAAATTTCCTCTTTGAAATATAATTATGAAAAACAAATACCCGATTACCATATGCAAAACCCGTACCCGGCCCGCATTGAGATCCGACCCGCTTATGTCTTCGCTTGGCCCCAACCCTACCGCTGTAGTTTGGCTCGAAAAGTTTCCATTTCTCAACAAACTGCGCCATAAATGAGAGAAATCAAAACCCATTAAGCTCGAAAAAGGGTTGCAGATTCATTGGTGAGTCACCGTGACCCACGTGTTTATTTCTTGATTTGGAAATTAAATTTAATTAAGCTCCAAATCGAATCAGGGTTTTAAAGATCGATCGACGAATTTACCTGGAAGGGAATTTGCAATTTCCATAGCCTGAAACACAAGAAACATCAAAATCAAACTCGAGCTTTTAGATCTGGGATGAATTTGAGCGAAAGAAGAGATTGAATCGAGAAATTTGAAAGATTATACTGACTAGGGTTTAGGGAGGTGAGAGCGGCGGCGTTTTGGAAGAAGCAGCTGTCGTCGGTCACGCCGTGCTTGAGGAAGTAATCGTTGAAGGCGAAGGAGGCCATGTGCTGGACGTCAGAGGAGTCGTAGCAGGGCCCGCCGGCCTGGATTGGGGAGCAGTCGGCGCCGCCGGCGCCGCACGCCCAGTCGAGGGCCGACTGCAGAGAGGCGTCGTCGGCGTTGTTCTTGGCCACGCACCAGAGCTCCGTCGCGCCGCCTTGATCTCTGATCGACGGCGCCGCGTGGCAGAGGGGAATCAGGAGGAGGAAGAGCATACAGCGGCCGAATTTGAAGATCGGCATTTCGGAAGGCAAGATCGGGAAAAATGGAGGGAGCAGAGAGAGAGAAAAAAAATGTAGCCGTTGAAGTGACCGTTGCAGAGATGGAGAAGACTGAAGAGCGAATGAAGAAATGGAAAGAGGAATGGGGGTTGAAGAAGATGACGTATTTACAGGTTCCTCTCGGTTTTTTACTTTTACGTTTTACCGTCGCATTTTACTGTGACTGCGAATTTGGGTCATTCTGGCCTCAGAAAAATTAAACTAATTTACCATATATGTTTGATTATTAATACTAAAAAAATATAAAACAAAGAATAACTTTATTTAGTTGTAATAATGCTTATTTAAAATCATTACCAATCTTCATTTTAAGCTCTATAAACTTATTATTTAGAAATTTGGCGATTTAGGAATGTAGAGTTAACTTGAATTTGCAGGTAAGCTTTTGAGAAATAAGCTGGCCGGCGCACGAACAGCGGACTGTATTTGGGCCAAGTTCCGCATGGGCTACCACTAATATAGCCCAATCACTTGTGGACCCGAAATATTCAAGTTACAACAGGCCCAATAATTAAAAAATATGGTAAAAGAAAAGTCCATCCATATCATAAACCATTATGAATTGTGGACTAAGAATTAATTCAATATAATTTCTTACCTTTCAATCAATCATATTCGTTGTACTAAAAAAAACGTCCAATGAGAAACAAATAAGCTTATAAAAATAAGTCTACAGAAAGATTAGCCATTAAATTCAAATTTTCAATCGAACGAACTAACTCACTTGATTAAGACATATATCTCCAACAAAAAAGTAGTGAATTCATATTTCTTAATCTTAAATGGATAATTTTGTGATTAACTTGGGGTGGGCAACATTTTTTAACCAATTCTTGAACCTAATAAAAGACTTTTAATTAGAAAAGACAGACATATCCCTCTTGTCTTAAATAACTAATCAAGCATCATACATGACATCTAAATACATCATAGTGAAACAAAAAATGTTAACATAATTTATATTATAAAGCACAAAAAGGAATAAATGAAGATATTATTCAAATATATAAGAAGAATAAGAGAGAGGATGGAAGAGGGAAATAAAGCCACGAGATGTGAACTTTACCTTTAGTGTATAAATTATATCAAATAAATGAAAGCTACACAAAAGCTGGGGCTACGTCTCCTTAGATTTAGCCACCCAATAACATTCTCTCTCTTTTTCCTTTCTTCCTTTTTCATTTTCAGAGAAAATTAAATCCCATCCCACACACATTTATAAACACATATTTATATATATATATATTTTTTGTGTTACCTGTTGTTTCAATAGGAAGCATGTAGGAGCGGGTCTTGGGTTTGACCCGGATCCGACTCCGAATCATCTAACTGCGACAATTTGGCAAAAACGCCGACCAACGGCGCCGTATTGTATGTGCAGGCCTCGGTCTGCATATAATTCCCTCTCTCATCTGCAAAATTATCTTCGCAATCGGGACCGCCGACCACCGCCCCGACGAGGACGTTCGGGTTCGGATCCTGGCGTCCGTACCAGTTGTCGTAGCCCTGCGTGCACCCAAT